CTTCGATCTCCTGTTGAGTTTGTAGGTGTTCAGAATGGTTTGATCCCTATCCAACTGAATTCCTGAGAGGAGACGAAATCCAGGTCTCCTACTCCTCTGCCATCTTGCTCTGCCCCCTTCAGGTATTTTTTTTATTTCTCCTTTGATTTGTTGGTTGTTCAGGAGCATGTTGTTTTATCTTCACATAATTGTAGAATTTTTGGTTTTCTTCTTGTAATTGATTTTTAGTTTCATATCCTTGTGGTCAGAAAAGATGCTTGATATGTTTTCAGTTTTTTAAATTTATTAAGACTTGTTTTGTGACCTAACATATGATTTATGTTGGAGAATTTTCCATGTGTGCTTGAGAAGAATGTGTTTCCTGCTGCTGTTGGATGGAATGTTCTGTAGATGTCTGTCAGGTACATCTGGTCTAACACGTAGGGTAAGTCCAATCTTAAGGCACTTTAAAAAAGATACTGTTCTAAGTCTTCTGCTTTCATAGTTTTTGTTGATCAGCTATCAGTCTTATTGATGCTACTTAAAAGTAATCTTTTTTTACTCTCTGGCAGCTTTTAATGTTTTTGTCTTTCCTCAGTAGTTTCTGTGGTGCACCTGAGTATAGTTTTCTTTTTCTTTCTCTATCTGGGGTTCATGGGACTTTTTGAATCTATAGTTTGATATCTTTTATTGGTTTTGGGAAATTTTTTGTCATCATTTCTTAGGAATTATTTCTGTCTCATTCACTATCTCCAAGGTTTCAGTGCCAGATACATAGGGCTTCATAACATCCTCTGTGTTGTTCTATCTTCTAGTCTCCCTCCTCATATTTTTATGTATCTTTGTTTCTTTCTGGATTTTTTTTCTGATATAGCTTCTATTTCTATAATTTTCATCTATATGTCTTTCCATTTTATTCTTAATTATTTTGTTATTGACTATTTTTGTTTCTAGAATTACATGATTCTTTTTCAAATTTTCTGTGGCCTTCCTTACTCCCCACCCTAGTTTCTGGTTTTTTGCCAAAGTTCTCAGTCTTTTTGAATAATCTTTAGGTACACAGTATTTATAGTTACCTGAAAGTATTTGTTTAATAACTTTACCATCTGGAGGTCCTATGACCCTGTTACTTTGGGCTACCTCTGCTGGTCCTCATGTTTTCATAGATTCATCCAAGTCTATGGATTGCACTTTAAGTATTGCTTTGGTTGCATTTTACAGGGTTTTGTATGTATACATATTCACTTAAATATTTAGTCTTTTCCAACTTTTTATATCCTGCAAAGGAACATATTTTAGTTTCCAAGTAAAGGGAAAGTTTGAAGCTAAATTTGTAGCTGATTTCTAAATTTATTGTGAGAACAGGGTATCTATTATGTTATTCTTTTGAATGCTTTTGTTTGTTTTTGCTTTTGTGAGTTAAGATTTTCTCTTTTATTATTGAGAAATAACCTCACAGTGTTTGTAAATTTGTCTTCTTTGGTATTCTGTGGACTCTTTAAATGTGTGGATGTCTGTTTTTATTTTGGGAAAGTTCTTGGATGTTATTCAACTCTTGCTACCCCACTATTTTTTTTTTTTATAATTTTTGGAATTCTTATTGGGTAGATATTGGAATGTCTGCATCTCTCTTTCATATCTCAACTTTTACTTGTATACATTTTATCATTTCATTCCTTTGTGATATTCTGTATCATATCACCCAAGGAATAGTTCCTCCTGCAGACAGCTACCCCCTTGAGCTTCAGGCTTATGACAATAGTGCCAGTAGTGGATGCTTAAGGTTCTAGCCTACATTGTTTCTCAGTAATCAACCGTTTGGTTGTTGACCTCCAGTACTTCCTTCTTACCTCTGTATTTGAGGTAATACTTTTCATATCCTTCCCCCCCCCCATTTTCTATCTATGAAGCAAGTCTGTGTATGTTAAAATCTTGTAACAGTGTGTGATACGACATTCTCAAACAGAACCAGTCTAAATTTCTATTTTCTGTGATGGGAGAATTAAGGAAAGAGTGAAGCCAATTAGAAAATAGGCAAACCCCTTCTTTGGAATTTGGGAAGCAAAGAGTGGGTCCCTGAGTTTCCAATATTTTCTGGGTCAGAACTTTCTGAGTCAGGCAAAATGACAGAATGACTACCAGCTATTTAGAGATCTTGGAATCATTGTTGGTATACTGGAATTCCCAGCTAGCCATGGACCTAGGATTGCCCCTTTAGTATATAGGCCAGAGCAGACAAGCACAACCATATGGGGCATAATCACAGCTAGGCCCTGAATAGGTTTGGATGGAGCAGTTGGATTTCCCAGCTACTTAACTGTGGAGGCTGGCTTTGGTCATTTTCATCCCGTCACAATAACCCAACCTACATTTTACCAATCCCATGTTTTGGATCCCACTTACCTGTATTTTGGCAAGAATTTATTGTACTTTTAAAAAGGCATGTAAGCATAAATTACAGATAAAGCTTGTTTTGTCAAATAGCAATTTACAGTCCTATGCAACTCACTACTCTTCCTCCCCAGTGAGCTGACAAACTCTCCCAACAGAGTCTCCCTCTGCCTCTCTCCACCCCCCGACCTCAACATAAATACACACACACACACACACACACACACGCACGCACAAGCACGCACAAATATGTATATACTTATTCCTAAAGATATAATCATAAATAAGCCAGTGTTTCTTTTTTTTTTTTCACATAAATGCCATTACACAGTATGTATCATTTGGCAACATGTTTCTAATTTAACTTAAAATGGACTGCAAATATCTAAAATTCTGGTTCATCTGTTATGTTTACAAAATTGATTATCATATACCACATTTTATTCATTCTTCACCTTCCCTCCTATTCCTAACTCCTATCTGGGTACTTTTGAATTTTTGTCACTCAAAACAGTGCTGCAAAAACATCTTTAGACTTGGCTCCTTATGCACATGGAGCAAATGTTTCTCTGGGGATCGATTTTTTTTCCCCCCTAGAGTTAATTTGAAAATACAAGAGATTTTTTTCCTCATGCCTTTTGTCTACCTGAAATGTATGCCCTCATTGGCACTTAAATTTCTCTATTAGCACATCTGCAAGAAAGTAGGCTGTGACTAACACCACTTGTTCTCATGAGTATGTAGTCCTGTATTCATCTTGGGTTAATTAATTACCTCTCTGTTGATTTCCTGGTGTTTCTATTACGAAGCTTTTCATAGTACAGATTATTTTTAAATTGTTCCAGTTATAATATCTAGAAAAGATGCTCTTTCTTTTCCTTTATAGAGCTAATTGCCAAATCACATTTGAAAATGTTAGATGCTTTTGTCAAGATGGTAGGTGATGTTGGGGCGCCTGGATGGCTCGGTCGGTTAAGTGTTTGCCTTTGGCTCAGGGCCTGATTTCAGGGTCTTGGGATCAAGCCCCACATTGGGCTCCCTGTTCAGTGGGGAGTCTGCTTGTCCCTCTCCCTCTGCCTCTCCTCCTGCTTTTTCTCTCTCATATAAATAAATAAAATCTTAAAAAAAGAAACATGGTAGGTGGTGCTAAAGTGTAACCCTGTTGATTCCTGTTTCCACTCCTCTTTGAAGGGTCAGTGTGCTTAGGTTTTCTTTTCCTCTTTTCATTGCATATTTGTCTATTCTCATATAGCCTAGTCTTTGGCAATACACTTGCATATTCTCTCCTTCTTAAATATTATGTTACTAGACTGAATTTCATTTACACGTTAATTCAAGATTATTTTTCTTCTTGTTCCCAAAGTTGGAACAAGTATAGCAGAAATCCCTAATGAGAGAGGTCCAGGTTTGTATTTTTTCACTAACTAGTTCTGTGACCTTTGGCAAGACTTGCGACATTTATTTAAGTAATCTATAAAAAGGGAAGGCTTGAATAAATGATCTTCAGGCTTTCCTCCAGAAACTTCCTTGACCAGGTTCATATGTATAATTTCATAAACAGTGAGGAACTTGAAATTATTTATTGCCTTTGGTATAAGCACTGATGCTTATTTATGCATATTAAGATTTTGAACAATAAACATACAGAATAGATTGTAAGATACTGAAAGCATATGTTTTGTTTTACAGGTGTTTGTTTTGTCTTGCTGTTTTAAAATTAAATCAAAATGCCCATAAGACCAGATCTCCAGGTATGTAGTCCTAGACCAAAAGGAAGGAAGTATTTTAATTCCTAAAATCACTTTTGTTTGTTTATAGGTGTTAAGTGCTGTATTTTTAGGAAAAATGAAGCTTACTTGTTTTTATGAAATGGTCAGGAGTGGAATAATTTAAAATGTTACTCTTTCATTTTTTCAGTAGGTTTCTTTTCAAAATCTGTTATTTATGAAGTATGAAAGATGCTGATTATTTACATATGCCTTTTACATTGAAAAGAATTATGCAGTCATTCATGTATAATTTATGCCTGGATATTTTTATGTCAGGGCATTTTGGTAAGAAGTTTTAATATATCTATTTAACATGTATGCAATTTACCACCAAATCTGGTGATCAGATTATAGTATAAAAATTCCTTATTAGTGATGTTATACTTTAGTAGTAAGGATGGTGGATTTTGTAAAGGTTATAAATGTATAATATAAATTATATATGTAAATCTTAAATTATATTGATATAGTTTCCAATCAGTGCTTTTGTCTGTATGTATTTTTTTAAAAACTATTTAAACCTCATTAAGAAATTGATATTCAGATGTGTTAGGGTTTTATCCATGGTGTTAAGTATTAGTTACTATTAAGTTTATTTCTTTCATTAATAGATTTCTTTTTTGAACTCGACATAATGATAACTTTATAATAAAGGATATGAAGTGGAAAATTAGTAGAATGTATATATATATTTTTTAATGCAGAATCTTGCTATTATGAAAGAAGCTTGATCTCTATCTCTCTTTCTCCAATTTAATAGTGAACAGCTTTTTTTTTTTTTAAATAAGTGAATTGATATAAGCTCTTTTGAGAATTTTCATGTGACAATTCTTGAATTACTGGATTGCATACGGTGACTAATTTTGGTTTTGATTCAATCTCTGTGCCATTACTGTATTCCTGTAGCAGTTGGAAAAATGCATTGATGATGCTTTAAGGAAAAATGATTTCAAGCCTTTGAAAACACTTTTACAAATTGATATTTGTGAAGATGTGAAGATTAAATGCAGCAAGCAGTTTTTCCACAAGTTGGATGACCTTGTATGCAGGGTAAATACTCCTTTTTGTTGAATGATTGTTAAAATTATCGGATAGCACTCTTTTTAGGAAGAAGTACTCCTTTGGAAGAAATGAATAAAAAGGCTTTGGCAAACTTGCTTATAATTATATGAATAAGTGCTAATTTTTAAAAAAATCTGAGGAGTCCCAAATAACATATTAGACTACTGTTTTCTAAATACAATATACAAAAAGCTATGTTTACATATCATTACCATTACTAAGTGTTGCCTAAACTGAGGAAAAATAGTTTACCTATTTAAAGTTTGAAAAACTTTTTAAAAAACCTATCAGCGTATTTATGTTATGGGGATAGTGCTTGGTGCTTTCAAAAATAAAACAAAAATTATCCAAAATCCTGGACTCGATTTATTATATGTAGGGTATTTTTATGCAGGAGAAAAAGTGATTATTGACCATCTCCCCCAGTATCTGAGACTTGTTATGAATCTAAAAGATTGAGTAATCTTTTATTAAAATGAGTAAACATTTTTTATTTCCATTAGTTAAATGTATAGAGCTGTTTAGAATGGAAGGTAACTGATTCATTGTACCATCATCTAAAGTTTCTTGAATTTACACAAATCTGCATTTTTGTACTGGATTTGTCATTCACGGGCTGGTGGCTTTAGGCCTTGTTTCTCTAAAGCGCACTTCCGTACTTTGCAATATGGAGATGGTGGTAGGAGCTAACTTTCAGGATTTGTGAGGATTACAAATCTCCTAGCACAGTGCCAGTTCCACGCTATTTTGTATTTACAGATGTTTAAATGTATACTTTTTGTTTTAGGAGCTTAATAAAAAGGATATCCAAGCAGTTTCAACCATTTTGGTTTCTTTTGGAAGATGTGGCAAAAATATCACTATATTGGGGCAAGCTGGACTTATAAATATGATAAAACAAGGACTGGTCCAAAAGATAAGTACAGAATATGTAATATTTATGTGAGGGGAAATAGTATTCAAGGTGTGTTTTCTAATAAAATGTTCAAACAGTTGAAATATGAATTTGGGGACTTTACATAAAGGTTTAGGTAAAATAAATAGTTTTGTAACCTGAGCTCTATGTTACAAAGATAAAGATCAAAAGGACACCGTACGCACCAGGCTCCTTGATGATCATGTGAATTTAAGGTCACAAGACTCCCTGAGGCCTTTACTTTATTTTCTCATCTATTTACTGTAACTTTGTTTTGCTTTTTATATTGTTTATTATCTAATTCCCATGCTAGAATGTGGGATATTGATTTTTATTTTGTTTTATTCATTTCTGTATACCTAGCGGTAAGAACAGTACCTAGGATGTAGTATATTCTCAACTATAAGAATTAATTAAAGTAAAATAACACCAAAACTTTTCAAATAGTAATAATGCCAAAAGAGTCTAATTTATGATGATAATTTATTTTCATCTATTAATGAATCTACCTGAACTAGGAATTTGAAAGGGGAAATCAAGGTCTTCTGCCTAGAATTAGGATTAGTTCATCCATTCCCATCTAAAGAATGTTAAAATATAGTGAGTTACCAAAAAATGAAAACAACAAAGATGTTTAAAAACATAAAACTTTTCATATAATACTGGAATTTTTATTTTTAATGTTTCTTTATTCCTAGGTTTACTGTTTATGCAAGATAAGTACATTCTTAAAATTATTAAAATTGAATTCAAAGTAACTAATACATACATTTCTTTTTTTTACATGGTTGCCTGGTTTGAAAAATCAAAGAAGATTATTCTCAGTCGAGGAAATTCAAAAGATGAGGCAGTTATAAATATGATAGAAGACTTATTTGATCTTCTGATGGTAAAAATCACATTGGTTAACCAATCTTACAAGCATGTGTTTATTTAAAATACAATTTGTGTTCTATATGTCCAGGGCCTAAAAGTCACTAACAGATTGGTTAGTGGCTTGATTGGATTAGTCTGTTCAGATTGTATAAAGCACTTATCCTGATTAATACAATTGAATAGTTAATAAATAAAAGTTAATTATATGGTGAATTCAAATGTGATCTGTTACTTTAATGCTATTTTAATATTTACTACTGTATCAATACAACATAATGGTTTATAATACAAAATAATAAATTACAAATTAAATATTCACTTTTTTTCAGGTCATATATGACATCAATGATGAAGGTACAATAAATATTTTATTTCTTTTAAAACAATAATTTGCTATTAGGGTTTTAGTATGACTTTGCAATCCTCAGAGTATTGTCCTAATATTAGGAATCTAACTAATTTAGGGATCAACAACCTTTTTCTGTAAAGGACCAAATAGTAAACATTTTAAGCTTTATATTAGGGCCAAGCAAAAGAAATCCAGGATTATTATATAGGTACTTATATAACAAGAAAGAAAACAGATTTCCACAGATATTGATACAATTCAAGATACTACAATAATTGAATACAGTGTTTTTGTAATATAGGTCAACTAATGAGAAAGCACTCTTTTGAGGGGAAGACATTTCATTTAATTAAGGCTCAGAGTTAGTTTGCTCTTATCAGAATTGATTGCAAATGTTCATTTTTTATGCTTATCTGTAATGAGATTTTATGTAAATTGCATTAGAAAATGTCTTTTCATGCAGATAATGCCAAATACTGATATCAATTCATGAGCATGATTTTTAATTGAGCATGTTCATCACTTGGAAAGCATTTATGGAATTATATTAGCTTCTTAATATTGCCTTTTAGAATGTCATTGCATTGCAGATGAATCACTTTCAACTGAAGGCTAGGTGGAAGCCCTCAGCTGAACATTTAAATGGATTTTGAAATACGGAAATTCCCTTTGTACTTCATCAGTGTCCAGAAATGCTGCTGGACCTGTAATTGGAGCTTAGAAAAACGTACTCCTATAAATTTGGGTGGGAATGGAGATGTCACTCCTTGTTTTAATTTTTGACAGCCTGGGAAATGTATAAAACAGTTTGGCATTACTTGTGATTCAGATAACCTTACTTTCATTGAAATGACTTCAGTGAAGTTTCTCATATAAGAATGATTTTTGCCTTGTAATTTTGGGTTGAATTCATTAAGAAACATCAACTCTGTAGCCCATGCTAATTACTGAAGCCATTCAGTGGTATCTGATATTGGTTAAGTTCATGAGAGTAGAATGAAATTCACTTTGATACTGCTGGTTCAGTCATTCAGATATTTCCGTAGAGTACCTCCTGATGAATAATAGAGCCATACAGAATGGGCAATGGTGTGGATTTGGTTTGTGGGCCATAATTTGCCAACTCTTGATCTAATGAGACAGAATTTTCAATATGTAGAACACATAACAACTCATCCTCACTTATGAATGGTCATTGTTTTGTGCTAAGCAAGTAGTCCAACAAATTATTTTATTTCTGTTGGTTGAAGAAGAATTACCTGGGATTGGTCACTGAGGCTGGTGAATTGTTTATAAATAAAGGAACAGTTTGCCTTCAAAGCCAAAAAGTTTTAAAAGCTCAATTGCTATTTACTTCAATAGTAGTTACTGCTACCTTTTCATTGATTGCTTTATAGTTGACATATAATCTAGCTTAAATTCTTAAGTTTTTAGGGAAGAAAACAATCCTAAAGCACCAGTGAATATAAAGTAATCCAAGTGTTTTTTTTTAAGTAAATAACTATATCTTTCTACCTAATTGAGTAATTTTATTCTTTTTTTTTTTTTTACCTTCAGTGTAGTCACTTTGGAAAGTTGTATATTTTCTGTTGTAGTATTGCCATTATTTAAAATTATTTTTTAAATTTGCATTATGAAATAGCATGTGGCAAATTCCTCTAAATATATTTAGTATTGATAAAGCCTTGTCTTTTGAGAATAGGGTTAACTTTAGAAAAAAGCTCAAGATATTTAGATCTTTATATCGAGGAGTGTTTACGGCCGTTATGGAACTTTCGATATATGACTAAATTAATGAGGCCGGTTTTCATAAGAACTTAATGATAGAAATTTCCACTTTTGAACTATGTTTATTTCATCTGAAAAAGTCCTACCTTAGGACTTAAAGGAGAAGCTGAATCTGAAGTTATGCCTTTGCCAGAGTTAAGATGAGTCAAATCTGTTGAAAGGTATTTTTTCAAAGCCACATAGCTAGTTAGTGGGAGAACTAGGACTGGATTTCATGTTTCCTGCTGCCCAAGACCAGTCAGTGGGCCTTTTCTGAACTAGTACATTCTTTCATTAACTCATATAAGATTGCCATTTAAAAGAATTTAAAATACACATTTATTAATGATTTAACACTTTCAGGTAAAAGGCAAGTAGTGGAAAGTTTCGTGCCTCGAATCTGTGTCCTGGTTATTGACGCAAGAGTGAATATTTGTATTCAGCAGGAGGTAAAGTCATTTGTTAGATTTTCTTTTAAACCTAAAAATGAGAGAGTGAAGCAAATTTAGTAGCAATTCATCAAAATGAATAATTATATTTTCTTGGTACTAAATTAATTATGTAGTGTATTTCTGTTGTCTTAATTCATTGCCTGATGTGATAAATAAATATGTTACCCAAATATTTATTGAAAATTCATAGCTATTTGTGTTTATGTATGCATATAGTTCATATGAAAATAAATTATAGCATCCAGATATTAGGAGTTCTCAATATTTAAATGCTAAAAATAACTTGTATTAGTATATGTATGTATGTACATATATATAACCATAAGAATATATATTAATCAGGTAATAATTTTTGTTTTAGTTATTATAATAGAGTAATAATCATATGTTTTATTGCAAGGAGTATAACTGGAATCATGTTATATTTCTTGATATCCTTTGTTTCATGTTTTTTGTATTCACTATATTATACTTTATATTCTTTCCTCCACCCTTTTCAATTCCCTGCATAAAATGCTGTGCTTAAGAAAAAAAAATAGGCTTCTAAGTTTGTATACCTAGAATAGTTCTCTAAATACTTAATGTTTCACTGAGTATATAAAGTTAATGGATTATCTTTTTTCTTTTCTAGACTCTAAAAAAAATGAATGCTATGCTTGACAAAATGCCTCAAGAAGCCAGGAAAATACTCTCTAACCAAGAAATGTTAATTCTCATGTAATAATTTGTACTATATTTCTTTAATTAGTGGTTCTGGTCAAGAATTTAAAGGATAATGAGAGAAGATGGACTCTGAAAAACAAACTGAGGGTTCTAGAGGGGAGGGGGGTGGGGTTAGCCTGGTGATGGGTATTAAAGAGGGCACGTATTGAATGGAGCACTGGGTGTTATTTGCAAACAATGAATCATGGAACACTACATCAAAAACTAATGATGTATGGTGATTAACATAACATAATAAAATAAAATTTAGAAAAAAGATAATCTTTTGCATAGCAAAGGAAACATTCGACAGAACCAAAAGAGAAGTATAGAATGGAAGAAGATATTTGCAAATTTCTTACCAGATAAAGGGCTAGTATCTAAAACCTATAAAGGACTTATTAAACTCAATACCCAAAGAACAAATAATCCAGTCAAGAAATGGACAGAAGACATGAACAGACATTTGTGCAAAGAAGACATCCAAATGGCCAACAGACACATAAAAAAATGCTCCACATCACTTGGCATCAGGGAAATACAAATCAAAACCACAATGAGATACCACCTCACACCAGTCAGAATGGCTACAATTAACATGTCAGGAAACAACGGATGTGGGGAATGTGGAGAAAGGGGATGCGGAGAAAGGGGAACCCTCCTACACTGTTGGTGGGAATGCAAGCTGGTGCAGCCACTCTGGAAAACAGTATGGAGGTTCCTCAAAAAGTTGAAAATAGAGCTACCCTATGACCCAGCAATTGCACTCCTGGTACTTACCCCAAAGATACAAAGGTGGTGATTCTGAGGTGTACCTGCACCCCAATATTCATAGCAGCAATGTCCACAATAGCCAAAGTATGGAAAGAGCCCAGATGTCCATCAAAATGAAATTAGGGAGAAAAACCATAAGAGACTTTTAATCATAGGAAACAAACTGAGGGTAGTTAGAGGGGAGGCGGGTGGCGGGATGGGGTAACTGGGTGATGGGCATTAAGGAGGGCACGTGATATAACGAGCACTGGGTGTTATATAAGACTGATGAATCACTGAACTCTACCTCTGAAACTAATAATACACTATATGCTAATTGAATTTAAGTTAAAAAATAAAAATAAAAATAAAAATTACGAAAATTTCCATAATATAAAATTTCTTAAAAAGGAAGGCAATAAACCAGGAAGCATCACTTTGAAGTTAACAACCATCTGACATGTGCCTCAAAGGAGCAAGTGTTTTTACACATAGAAAATAAGAAGCTGCTCAAAGCTTTGGGGCAGAGAAGAGGATAGCAACACTTTCCTCCTGACCCTGAGGCTTTGAGGTATGGGAGAATTAGCACCTTAACTGGAGATGCCATAATGGTGGTGGTGCCCTCAGCATATGGACTGGTTTCAATTAAGGCAAAGAAGTGGAGGGAGTTAGTGAAGAGATTGAGGATTCAGGTGAATTTCTGTAAAATGAATTGTCCTTAATAACAAAAGAAAGGGGTCTATTTTCCTCACAAGATTAGTGGAAGGTTTTAGGATCTCATCTTTTAGGAATGGTATCTAATTTTACCTGTAGCTTTTTTTGTGAATTCAGTATTATTGAGTTATACAAATTTTCAGTGAAAGCACGTGGAAGGGGGAAGGGGAAAATAATGGTGATTATTCATATGCATTCAGTGTTTGAATCTAAGGACAGTCTGTGAGTGGGAATTGAGGAATGCATAGGATTTCACACTATTTCAAAAGCATAAATGACAGGATTTGGTAACATTTTTAAAAAGGATAGCCTCTAATAAATATTAATGGTAGTAATTCCTTTTTTGGTCAAAAACAAGAAATTATACCATTATACTATGAAATCATCCCAGTATTTCCTTCATAAAAGTGAACAAATAGATTAAATGTGACACATGTAATGTATGACACGATCAATTGATGGAGCAAGAAATGTGTTACTTAGTGATACTTAATAAGAAATAATTATTATTTATGTAACTTTTAAGTTTTTAAACTGGTGTTTAAAGAAGACTTAAAGCAGGAGTAAATTATTTATGGTCAAACCTGTTTTTAAATTTAAGGATCATCAGTGGGAAGCAGTGATTGTGCCTGAGGATAAAGTACAAATATACAGCATTGAAGGTATTTAACTTGTTTCCTCTAACTCTCCTCTTGACTCTGATCACATGGAGTAGCAGTTGCATGCTCTCTGGGGAAAAAAATAGACTAACGAAAACAAAGTGAACATTTTCATATATTCACATTCATAAATTTGATAGTTCAATATCAATATTCCCTGAACCCACATTTCCCCCACCCCCAATTTCCCAACTCCTTCCTGAACTTTTCTTTAGTCTAAAACTTATGATCACATGTCACTTTCTTGTCAATATGTTCAAGGCCCTTGCCTTTTATCCTATTAGTTTGATGAGGTCCAAACATCTAGTTCCTGTACTAATATAACTGGAATCGTGTAACACTGCTGGCGAAGTCCTACAACTTGGCAACTGGTAGCACCACACATTCAGCTATCAAGATAGATTTTAGGCATTTCAATGGGGATGTGGTATCTCTTGATAGTTCTTATTTGCATATTCCTCTTGACCATGAATATTGAGCACTTTTGCATTTGCTTGGTGGCCATTGATATATACTCTTTGTGCAGTATCCGTTTAAATATTTTGTCCTTTTTTTTTTCTAGGCTGTCTTTTTTTAATTAAGTTTTTGAGTTCTTACATACGTGGGTATCAATTCTTTGATAGATAGATGTTCTATGTGTATTTTCTCCCCGTCTGCATCTTGCTAATTTATTTTCTTAGGGGTGTCTTTAATGAGCAGAAGTCTTTAAATTTGAAGTCCACTTGATCACTTTTTTCATTGTGCTTATTGCTTTGTGTGACCTAAGTAATTTTTGACTACTACCAATTCACAAAGATGTTCTTTTGTTTGTCTATAAAAACTTTGTGGTTTTAGCTTTTATGTTTGGGATTATGATCCATCTCAAAATAACATTTGGTTATGGTATGATACAGGAGTTGAGGTTCATTTTTTTCACATGGACATGCAGTTATTCCAGGACTATTTGATGAAAAGACTTTCCTTTCCCCACTGGATTTTATTGATTCCCTCTTTGAAAATCAAATGACTGATAGAAGTGCACATTTTATTTCTTAAAGCTGTACTCCATCCCATGGATCTATTTGCCATTCCTTATGCAAGTAGTACCACACTGTTTTAATTTTTGTAGATTTATAGTTAGTCTTGAAATCAGATAGTGTAAGTCTTCCAACAATGTGGTTTTTTTCAAGGCTGTTTTAGAAATTCTAGACCTTCTGTATTTCCATATATCTTTTAGAGTTGACTTATCAATTGCTATAAAAAGCCTGCTAGATTTATAATTGCAACTGTAGTTTGATATGGGGAGAAATAACATTGTAACAATAGTAAGTATTTCAGTCCACAAACATGGTGTATTTTTACATTTATTTGGGTCTTTGGTTTCTCTCAACAACGCCTTGTTTTCAGTGTGGAAATCTTACATATCCTTTGATGAACTTATTCCCAGGTCTTCAATCTTAACCTTATATGATTGTGAATAGAATTGGTTTTTAATTTCATTTTCCAGATATTTTCTGCTGGTACATAAAAATACAATTGATTTTGAAATACTTACCTTGTATCCTACAATCTTGCCAAAGTCACTATTTAGTTCTAGTAGTTGTAGCATGGATTCCTGGGGATATTCTAGGTAGTCCGTCATGGTATCTGCAAATAGAGAGAGGTTTTACTTCTTCCTTTCTGATCCTTATGGCCTTCCTTAACGAAATTCTTTATCCCTCTCCCCTACCTCTTCTTCCTTCCTCTCTTTATTTTTTCCTCCCTTTATTCCTACCTTTGCCTTACTGCAATAGCTAGAACTTCTAGTACAGTATTGGATAGAAGTGGTAAAAGTGGTCATCTTTGCATTCTTCATGATCTTTGCTTAGGAAAGAACATGTAGTATTTGACCCTCACACATGATGTTAGCTGAAGGTTTTTTGTAGATTACCTTCCATCAGGTTGAGGAAGTTGGTGAGTCTTCACGTGTATAAACACACATGAAACTATTATGCAATTCAAGGTAGTAAATATATCCAGTCCCCCTAAATGTTCTTTATGCTCCTTTTGATCTATCCCCAGGAAGATCTAGCCCCAGGAAGTCACTGATATTTTCTCTGCCATGGACAAGTTTACATTTTCTGCAGTTTCTATAAATAGAATCATACAGCATATACCTATATATATGCATATTTATGTTAGTATATGTAATATGTATAATTATATGTACTATCTATGTAATATATAAATATATATGTAAAAATATATGTAATACATATACAAGTGTAATATGTACGTTTATATATGACATTTGTATATTTTTTATATAATACATTTAGATATATATTTTTTATTTAGCCACATTACATGTATTAATAGTTTATTCCTTTTTATTGCTGAGTGGTATTCCATTGCATGGTTATACTTCAATTTGTTTATCCGTTCACCTTTTGATGAGTATTTGGAATGTTCCCAGTTTTCAGCTATTATAAAATGCTGCTGTGAGTATTCATGTATACTTATTTCCATGTATGTGTATATATATGCTTTTATTTCTCCTGGGGAAATACTTAGGAGTGTAGTGGCTGTGTCAAAACATAAGTATATGTTTACCTTTTTCAGAAACTTCCAAAATGTTGTCCCAAGCAGTTTTATCATTTTACATTTTCACCACCAGTGTGTAAGAGTTCCAGTTGACATCCTTGGCAACGCTTCATATGGTCAATCTTACCTTGCCTTATTGCACTGCCTGGAACCTTCAGTACAATGTTGAGTAGAAGTGATGAGAGTAGATGTCTTTGCCTAGTTTTTGATGTTAGGCGGGGGAAGCATTCCTTTTTTTCACCATGATGTATTTATGGTGGCAGTTTTTCATGTGTGCCCTCTGTCAAATTGAGGAAATTCTCTTATTCCTAATTTGCTGCGAGAGCCTTCCTTGATCACAAATGTTGGATTTGGGGAAATGCTTTTCCTGCCTCTATTGATATTATATGTAGTTTCTCTTGTTTGGTTCCTTAATAGAAATACATTGATTTTTAAATGTTAGACCAACTTTGCATTGTTGGGATAAACCCCACTTGATTTTAGTACGTTATCCTTTTATATATCATTGGAATTGATTTATGAAATTTACTTAGGAATTTGGTATTCTATGCACTAGAAGGTCTGCAGTTTTCTTGTAATGTCTTTCAGTTTCAGAGTGAGGGCAGTATTAGCCTCATAAAAATGAATTGGCAAGTTTTCCATCGTCTTCAGTTTTCTGTAAGAATGTGAGTGGAGTTGATACTGTTTCTTAAGTACCTACTAGTGTTTGTCAGTGAAGCAGTCTGGGCTGCCACCGTTCTTTGTTGAAGACTCTTAACTACAAATTCAGTTTATTTAATAGAAAGTGTTTCAAGTTATCTGTTTCTTCTTGAGTAAGCTAATAATTTGTGTCTCTCTAGTAATCTATCCATTTTATTCAAATTTATTGGCATGAAGTGGTTTATTATGGTCCCTTAGTATCTTTGTAATGTCTGTAGACTTGTTATGATGGCCATTCTGTCACTCCTGATGTTTATAACTTGTATATTTTTTCCCTAATCAGTCTGATAAGAGGAATATCAGTTTATTGGTATTGTCAAAGAACCAGCCTTTGGTCTCATTGATTTTTCTCTATTGTTTTTCTATTTTCCATTTGGTTGATATCTGCTCTTTTGTTTATTTACTTATTTTTTTGCTTTGGTTTTAATTTGTTTTTCTGTTTCTAGTGTCTCAGGGTAAAAGCTGATTTTATTGTATCTCCTTTGTTGGCTTTATACCCCCTTTAATTAGTCGTTGATTTAGGATTTATTCTATTCATTTTTAACTTAATAGTGTGTCTATTCAGGTAATATTACACCCTTTTATGTGTAGCACGGGAACCCTGCAACAGTGCACTTGCGCATTTGCTTTCCTGGCTTTCATGCCATTGCTATCAATATACACAAAAGGTTTTTGTTTGTTTCTTTGTTTGTTGTTTTGTTTTGCATGTTGGTGTAATGATTTTTTGCTTTATGCAGCCAATTAGGTTTTAAAGAGATTTTTTAAATGGATTAAAAAGTATTTTATATTTACCTACACGTTTACCATTTCCAGTGTTGAGTTTTCCTTTGTGTGGATTCAGATTTCTACCTAGTGTTGTTTTCCTTCTCCCTGAATGACTTGTCTAGTATTTCTTGTAGTACAATACCAGTGATGAGTTCTTTCAGTTTTTATGTATCAGAAAAATCTTTTGTTTTCATTTTTGAAAATTACTTTTGATACATATCGAATTTTAGATTGCCTGTTGTTTTAGTTCAGTTTACTTTAAAGATGTTACTCTACTGTCTCCTGGCTTATGTTGTTTCTGATGAGAAGTCTACTGTCATTCTCTAGTTTGTTCCATTTTATTTAAAGTCTTTTTACCCCTGGATGCTTTTAAGATTTTCTCTTCATCACTAGTTTTAAACAGTGCCAATATCATGCTTTAGTGTGATTTTCTTCATGTTGTTTGTTCTTGGGGTTCATTGAGACTTTTGTTCTGTGGGTTCATAGTTTTCATCACATTTAAAGTTTTTATCCAGTATTCTTCAGATATTTTTTCCTGCTGATTCTTTCTTCTCCTTCCCTTTGGAGAGTCTGATTATACATACACTAAGCTACCTGAAGTTTTCCCACAGCTCACTGATTCTGTGGTTTCTCCACTCCTTCCACCCCAGATTTCCACCCCCTTTTTTTTCATTTGAATACTTTTCTATTGCTGTATTTCATGGTCATTAATATTTTCTTTAGCAGTGTCTCATCTGTTGTTGGTCCTATCTTGTATAATGTTCACCTCCCGTGTTGTATTTTTCATTTCTGGAAGTTTGATTTGGGTCTTTTTGTAGGATAAATTTTTAATTTTAGAATAGTTTTAGATTACAGAAAACTTGCCAAAATGGTATATAAAGTTTCTATGTACCTCCTCACCCAGTTTTTCCAATTTTTTAAATTGTGGTTAAAAAACAAATAAATACAACATAAAATTTACTACCTTACTATTTTAAGTGTATAGTTCAGTAGTGTTAAGTATATTCACATTGTTGTGAAGCAGATCTCCAGAACTTTTGTCATCTTGCCAAATTATAACTCTATACCCGTTAATCAACTTCCCTTTTCCCCCCATCCACTCAGCCCCTGGTAACCACCATTCTACATTTTTCTTCTGTGAATTTGACTATTTTAAGTGGAATCATACAGTATATATCTTTTTGTGACTGGCATTTTTCATTTAGCATAGTGTTTTCTCCCATACTTTTTTTTTTTTTTTTTAAGATTTTTATTTTCTTTAATCTCTACACCCACCTTGGGGCTCGAACCCCCTAGAACAAGATCCACTGACCAAGCCAGGAGCCCCTTATTTTATTTTATTTTATTTTTAAGATTTTATTTATTTGCGAGAGAGAGAATGAGAGAGAGCATGAGAGGGAGGAGGGTCAGAGGGAGAAGCAGACTCCCTGCCGAGCAGGGAGCCCGATGTGGGACTTGATCCCGGGACTCCAGGATCATGACCTGAGCCGAAGGCAGTCGCTTAACCAACTGAGCCACCCAGGCGCCCCCCCTTATTTTTTAACTTTTATATCTTTTTTTTCACATCTTACATTTTTATGGTACCTCCGTTACTGCATTCTAAAACAAAAAGCCTACTTGGATCTTCATCTTCCTCTAGTTGTCTCACTCTTTTTCCATTCATAGCCAATTTTGAGAGATAGTTTTTACTAAATCTTTTTTCTCCTGCTTTTCATCCTGTTCTTATTACATTGTTTTCCATCCCACTCCACTGAAATTTTAGATGTCAAAATAATAGTTTATTATTAATATCAATATGCACACTTTCAGTCCTTATACTTGAACCTTCCCCCACATTTGACACTGTTGACTACACTTTCATTTTTTAATCTTTTTCCTAATTTCTCAGCTAAGCTCTATATACTCATCCTTTATTTCCTATTTTGACAAATGGTATGATAAAACTTCCAGGTCCCCCAATATAGAAGCCATTCTTGATTGTTTCCTCTCCCTCAACTAATCATTTTTCATGTTCATGTATTTCTCTTAACATTTTTTGAATTTCTTTACTCCCCTTTATTTTCATGCTTATCACTGCCTCCACTTCCTAATAAAGTTCTGTCTTTTGCATCTTGCCAAACGTAGTTGTGCATAATTGGGCAAAAAAAAAGTTATTTTCATTGTTGTAATAGCATAAGTTGATTTTTAAGATTTATTTTCCAATACATAACTCGTCCTAATTTTATGAGGACACTTTTATAAAAAATTAAGTTCTTTATGTTTAGATTAAAAGGGGTTTTTTGGAGCTTCCTGGTTGGTGAATAATAATGAATCTTCATGCCAGGAGGGTGGTGCACCCTAAACTTCACAGGGACAGGAGCTCCTGTGCTCCGGACCCTTCCAAACCTCACTCACACTGTGTATCTCTTCACCTAGCTGTTCATGTGTATCCTTTAATATCCTTTGTAGTAAAGTGGTAATCTAGTGTAACCTATATGGAATGGGCAGTATCTGAATTTTTACATGAATAGCAGTCATGGAAGTAAAAAAAAAAAAAAAAAAGGAACCTGGAAGTCAGTCATTATTTCTAGTGAAAAAGAATTTCATTAGTTGCAGGCTGAGGGGATGGGGAAGCAGCAGCATGATGGATTGCAGGCAGTTAGACCCTTTTATATGTAATATGTAAGAATGTATAAAATGAAGGCTCCATGGGCAATCTTAAAATTTTTTTAAATGCCTTTGCAGAAGAAAACATTATTATATTCATATAGTGTACTAGAATCTCATATAAATATGTTTATCTATAAATAGTTTTTTTTTTAAAGATTTACTTAGAGTGAGAGCACGCTTGCACATGCCCGTGTGCGTTGGGAGGAGAGGAAGAGGGAGAGAGTCACAAGCAGACTCTGCACTAAGTGTGGAGCCCATCATAGGGCTCAATCTCACAACCCTGAGATCATGACCTGAGCCAAAACCAAGAGTTGGATGCTCAATTGACTGTGCCTCCCAGGCACCCCAAAATACTTGGCTTTTTAGCAAGCAACAAAATAACTTTCCTGGTATCATAGTAATATTGCTAATTAAAAACAAGCTATGGGGCACCTGGGTGGCTCAGATGGTTAAGCGTCTGCCTTCGGCTCAGGTCATGATCTCAGGGTCCTGGGATCGAGTCCCGCATCAGGTTCCCTGCTCAGTGCAGAGCCTGCTTCTCCCTCTCCCTCTGCCACTCCCTCTGCTTGTGCTCTTCTGTCTATCTCTCTGTCAAATAAATAAATAAAATCTTTAAAAAAAAAAAAAAGAAAAAGAAAAACAAGCTATGATATAGTCCAGGCAGTTAAAGGAACTAACAAAAATTTCAACAAAGCCCACAATAAAATATAACAAATATCAATAAATTCTTTATAGATAGTCACAGTATATGTGGGGAATAGTTTGTACAAAAAGGTACAAAACATTCAGCAATATTTGAAGTAATTCTAATATGTTTATGTAAGCAGTGAAACAAATATTGTATTTACTATAAGTTTGTGGCCAGCTGCAGGAAAAAAATCATATCAGAGCAATATAATAATCAAAAATATCCATAAGGATTATAAATTTTCTAATATTCATCAGAATTCAAAACATTATTCGCTTCAAAATCACCCAAACTTTCAACTCTAAAGCCTGAAAACTTGTTACTTTTGAAACACATGACTTTTTTTTCCCAGAATAAAACCACCAGCACTCTTTAGTTAGAAACTGTCACCATTATCTTCAAGCAATTAATAATTCTTATAATCATCAAAGGACTTTACTGCGGAAGTTTGTCATGACCATATAGTTGCAAAAACAGACAACACATATTCTGCTTGAGTAAGCCTCATAGGAATCAGAATTATTTGTCCTGTAGATTAGGTCATGAAGTAGGCAGCAGAGCTTTTCTTCATGTAGAGACAAATTTTTCTACTTGGTATCCTCCATCTCCATCAGGATGTAGGATTTCCTCCTGCCCAAAAATATACGGTGGGGGCAGGTGTGGCGACTTGTCAGTCATCAACAGGAATACCATCAGAAGTAGAACAGGGCCATAAGTGGCCTCTAGTCCGTAATACAGGCACATTAATTGGATGCCAAGTGATTCTTTGGTGAATTTTTAGAGGAAGGGAAGTGAATACCTCTTATAAACTGGCACTTACAGTATTTTCAGTGGATCAGTGAATTAATGGAGGAATTGCCCTGATTCTTTCTTTAGTTTCCTGGCACTCAAGGTGTTTGACAGTTGTTTACTGTCAACTTGCTTGTAACAGCTGGATTTAAGAGAAATGTTTGAATGGATGCTTATGCCTAGAAATATAGTTACTTATGGAATTAAAGTTATTTTCTTTGCCTCTTTTAAATTAAGCAAATAGTTTTCTTAGATATGTTCTAGGAGTATTTATTAAGAACCTATTAGTGTCCACAGCATATTTAGGGCTTTAGCTCATTAGTTATTGTATTAGTTTGTAATTTATAGATCAAGAAACAGACTCTGAAAAATAAATTGGATTGGTTTGCATAAGTTGTTAGTGCTGGAATTGATTGTTAAATCCTAAAAGTTAATGTTATTTCACTTCAATTTAATTAATATGCTACCTGGCTTATTTATAACATGCCTAGAGAGTGGTATCATAGAAATGAATATAAACTAATTGGTGTGATTTGTTTGTATACAGTGAGAGAATCGAAGAAGCTGCTGACCATAATTCTGAAAAACATAGTAAAAATTAGTAAAAGAGAAGGGAAAGAATTGCTTTTGTATTTTGATGCATCATTAGAAATCACTAGTGTGACACAAAAAATTTTTGGTGCACATAAATATAGGGTAAGTGTTTAAATTCTTTTCAACATTTATTTTCATAAGATTCTTTTTAATATTTATTTTCATAATTATGGAAACTTTCGGTTACCGGGGGCTGTAAGTTTCATTTTTTTTCCTAGAATTCTTAAAATGACGTGTTGATTTTTAGTTCTTTAAATTTTTATTGTGGAATAGCCCTCAGATTGTAGGCCATATCCTTGAGACACCTGTTAGAATCTCAGATGACAAAATAAGCTGCAGTATTCAAAATATTTAATGAATTCCTGCTAGGTGTTTAAAAAGTGAATTAAGACAAGACCATGTTTTTAAGATATTAAACAGTGTTTGTGAGAATTACAGAATCTACCTCGGAAGAAGTAAATAAGGGGCAGGTATAGAAGTTGAGAAAAGAGAATGCTCATTAAGAGTCTGATATGAAGGAAAGGCTGTTCAGATGGGACTTGAAATGGCCTTGGAAATTGATGGGTGAAATTTAGAGAAGATGCATTCTGGGACTGTGGAAGACATGATGAGTCAGTAAGGTGACAATTCAGGTTCAGTTTCAGGGAGCTACTCTGTTGACAGGCTTGGATAGCACATGTCGTAGTCTGTTCAGGCTGCTGGAGCGCGAATACTGTAGACGGGGTGGCTGAAAATGACAGACCTCCTTTCTTTCTGTCTCTTCTGTCATTTCTTTTTCTCTGCCTCCCCATTCACTTCCATCTGTCTCTCCTAGCTCTGGAGGCTAGGTGGCTATGACTGGCACCAGCAGACACACTTTTGGCCGAGGCCCCGCTTCCTGTTTCACAGTGGCTGTCTTTTCACTGTGTCCTCACATGCCAGAAGGGGTCAGGGAGTCCTTTGGGGTCTCATTTCATAGGGGCACTGATCATATTCACAAGGACCCTGCCCTGATGAAGCAGTCACCTGCCAGAGGCCCTGCCTCCTAACACCATCACCTTGGGGGGGTAGGTTTCAATATATGAATTTGGGGGACACATTGAGTTCAGAGCAGTGCAGAAGATTTATGGGGAAGAAAAATAGAGACTGTGTGTGGAGAAGAGTATTTATATATACAAAATAATGATTTGAGATAATTTGGGAGTTTTGAAAGGAAATGCAGGAAATACATTAACATGGAAAGAACTGGGAGAAAATGACATCACTTTGAATTAATTTAATTTTAGGAATTTACCAGAAAACAGGGTATTTCGGTTGCCAAAACATCTGTGCATATACTTTTTGATGCAAGTGGATCACAGGTATGTGTCTGACTTACTTGATTTTTATCACTGAGCTAAGTTGAACCCTAAATAATTGCACAGCATTATGTTGGACGGTGAGTATCTGAAAAATGAATTGTCTCAACATAGAGTGCCCCACTAAGGTACATGATTGTTTAAACGTGTTATTAAAGATCATTTACTTTAGTACAGAAGATAGTTATCAATATCATTTTGGTAACTTTAAAAATTAGGCATATATGTCCTGCCACTAATGCCAAAGCTTGTTTTATGTCTATGGACGTTTGAAAATGTGGGTGTTTTTTGTTGGGTCACTTTGACTAAGTACATGGAAAACAAAGAATTGACTTTGGTAAGTGTGGGATGAATGGGCGCTTTACTAAGACATCCAGTGATTTTTGAGAACTTCCTGCAGTTTGCAGTTTGAAATACTTTTCTCCACATTCTCCAACAGATTCTAGTGCCAGAAAGTCAAGTCTCACCCACCGAAGAGGAACTCACTACTTTGAAAGAAAAACCTAACTCCCAAAAGGAATTTGCTAAACCTCCGAAATATATCAAAAACTGTAATCAAGGAGACAGAAAGAATAGTCAGCTTGAGGTAAATATGGTGTCAAAATAGTTGTTGATAGGGGCGCCTGGGTGGCTGTCGTTAAGCATCTGCCTTCGGCTCAGGTCATGATCCCAGGGTCCTGGGATTGAGCCCCACATCGGGCTCCCTGCTTAGCGGGAAGTCTGCTTCTCCCTCTCCTGCTCCCCCTGCTTGTGTTCCGTCTCTCGCTGTGTCTCTTTCTGTCAAATAAATAAGTAAAATCTTAAAAAAAAAATAGTTTTTTATAAAACAGCATAGATCAAATCATTGCTACATATAATTACAGAAAAAAAGCATCTAGAATTTACCTTAATGGCCTTCATCAATAACATTCAGAGTATTTCCCCTGCCTTTTACAAATGCAAACAAAAGATAGTATTTTAGCAATTGTGTTTGTGCAGGGTTAAGAGGGTTAAGTAAGACAAGGTATACTATACACTTGTAAATTCCAAGTTAGAAATATGTAAGAAAGTACCACTTGTTACATTTATCCTGTCTATTTTTGCTTTTGGCTGTTATGTAGAATGCAAATCTATAATGTAACGTTCTCTTTATTTGCATAAGGAAAGAAAGCTAAATATTAAGTACTTTTTCCTCCTCCTCCTGCTGGTGGAGGCTCTCCTCTAGGCCATATTCAGCAGAACCAGTTCTCAGCCTCCTTGTCTTGTGACAGTTGAGGTTGCTAATAGCCTTGTCTTTCTTAATGTCCTCACCTTCTTTGATTTCTGTTAGCCTTTTAGTTCTCTTCCTACTTCTGTTACTACATTAGAGATACTTTCTTTCCCCGCATCCTAAATGTAGATTTGTTCTGAAAGCTTGACTCAGCTTCTTGAACATCTCTATGCCTTCTCCCTTAAAGAGCTTCCTTCATGTGCATAGTTTAAGCTCTTGAAATATACTAGATCTCTCTTCAAAGTGCTGCAGGGAAGTCTCCACTTACTCTTCGAGTGTTTCCTTTTGTATGTCTTGTTTTCCTGATCTAACCTCAAACTCTTTTATCTTTTGCTTCAAATTTGCATCTGCCTCCATACTTCAATAAAGCTACCATTAATTTTCCGATGGTATCCTGAATCCTGCCTCCTCTCCCCTGACACCTAGGACCAAGGTACTAGTGATGGTTCTTTCACAGTACCTCGCACATCCTCCCCTCCTCATTCCCTTCGCCCTTACTCATTTTAGTACACCCAGCTCAGTACAGCAGCTTCCTCATTGTCCTTTGACTCTGTGAACTACCCCATGTGGTATTCCTTCCCCTGGTTTTTCTTAATCCCAGAGTCCCTGTTGCATTCTGCTCAGAAAGTTGTGGGATCTCTGTGTTTATCTTCCTGCATCGAAATTTTAACTCAGTTCTGAGACCTACAAGTTCATTTTACTCTACATACTGACCACGTTAGTAAGGTTAACTGCTTTCCTGCCTCTTTTTATGTCACACTAATTCTTGCCTCTATACCTTCATTCATGTTGTTTGTCCTTTTTTTTTTTTTTTTTTACCTTCCCTCATTTAAAGTGCCCTTACAATTGCAAGTCTTGATTAATTTTCACTTTTCTTCATGGACCTTTTCCTGTTTTAGTTTTTACTAATATCTCACCTTTAGGCAACTTTAACTCTCACAGGCTCTTCCGTACATTTTTTCATGTTGATGTTACTCACTGTTTTTTCCCCATTAGTCTTGTGTCCTTCGTTAAATGAAAAATGCCATCTTCTGTTTTCTTTGGACAATTAAATTATAAAAGCCATTTTCTATGTTTTTATATCAGGGTCATAACACGAGTACTTATTTAAAATGCTAATTCTTAGGGCCCCCCTACCTTAAATTTATTGTCATAAACTCTAGAAGTAAAAATCTGTAAGAAACAGTGCACTGTTGTTAAATACCACTGTGTTTTTGTTAAGGATTGACTGAAGCATTTATATGAATAGGTAACTTCCCAGGTCCCATTCACCATGCCACTAGGAACTGTCTTTTCTTGAAGAATCCATTGGTTCAGTAGTTTGTTTTCTGGTTAATCGTAGAATTCCTCCTTTTCCTCTCCTTTCCACCCTTCCTCCACACCCCGTTTACAGAACTATTAAAAACTCCTGCAGTATTTTTTTCTTAGTCTTAGGGGCAGGTGCCTTTTGAAAACCAGATCTCCTTTGCATCTTTACAGTTTGTCACCATCTGCTCCGTTCCATGGCGTCCTCTGAAACTCTTTTCCACCTCTGTTCAGTGACTCTAGGATGAAGTTAGAAAATGCACATCTTTACTGGAACCACTGGCTCTGGTGCCGCTGAGGCTCTGAATTCCTGTAGCTACTTTTTACTCCAAAGCTACTTTAGTCCTCACAGAATATTAATACAGTTTTTTAAAATGTGTGAAAGTTTTGAAGAATTCTAAACATTATGAAAGCATTCACAAACAAATGTATATAAATTTACATAACTATGTATCCAAATATCATACACTGAAATAGAATAAGAAACTGAGCCACTGGTTATAGATACACTCAGTATCAATAAAATATTTTCAGCTAGTATATAAGGTGCTATATTTCATATGTATGGGTATTCTAGAAATACTTTTTATTTTATTTTTTTTCATTATTATTATTTTTTTATTCTTATGTTAATCCCCATACATTACATCATTAGTT